TTTATATTGCATTGGTCTACCTGGACTCCAAAAGGCTGCCCTGGGTATATTTTGGCTATTTCTTGGAAAAAAAAAAGCCTCGTGAACTGATCTGATTCCACTGTTCATTAATTCCTTAGCTAAATACTAAAATACCTAGAAATGTGCCAAATACCAAAGGAACAGTCAATTATACGCTATTTAGTGAGAGTGATGACAATAAAATTACAAGTCTGGAAAATGAATAGAAATGGCATGATCCCATCTTAACAGGCTGGATGGTGCTTCGATTTTGCTGCATTTGGAAATTTGGGTTCCCTCCTCCTCCTCCTCCTCCCCCCCTTCCTCCTCTGCCTCCTCCTCCTCCTCCTCCTCCGCTTCCTCCTTCTCCCATTTTTTTCTATCAACAATCTGATGCTGCCTGTGCCCACAAATGGGGCAGTGGTTTCCCTTGGAAAGAGCAGAGCAGGTACAGTTGCATCCTGCCAGTCCCTCTGTCCTGGACTCCTAGGGTCCCCTGCTTCTTAAACCAAAGGTAGGGTGAGGGTTTGCTGTCACTGGCCTGGGAAGGAGAAGGAGGGATGCTGGGGACAGGAATGGAAAAGTACACTTTCTTTAGTCTTGGCATGAAAGGAAAGCGAAAAAGCCTTCCAGAGCCAGGAATCACTCATGTCAGGGGGACGTCTCGGTTCCTTCCCTGTCCTTCTGGATCCCCACATCATACCCCATGCCACATCCAGCAAGGCTGGATGCTCCCAGCACCTCCCTCTCCTTAGTACTGAACTCGGTCTTGGCCCAGGTTTGTGCTTTGTTTCTGAGGAGTCACACACTTCGCCTCCCAGGTTTGCCCGCTGAGGTTTTTCAGAAGGACTTCACATGGCCTGCGCTCCTGGCTGTCAGAAGCCCTGGTCCCGCACTGCCTGGCATAGCCAAGACAGCCCAGGGCTCTGGGCCTGAGACGGGGCCGGGGCCTGATGTTCCCAGGACGTCACCGCTGTTGGGAAGGACGTGCAGCCACTCTTGCAAGAGCGTGGGTTTGAAGTCAGCCCATCAGGACTGAAAGCCAAATTCTTATCACTTTTATTTTTACCTTAAATATCTTCCACTGAGTATGTTCTAAACAATGCCACAATTTCATATATAAAATGTACGGATAAAAACAGCCCTGAGCAGCACTGACAGGACTCGCAGGTGGCTCTGGAGTGAGACAGTACTGCACAGGGCACAGAGGGAATTTCAGGGTCTTAGGTAGCGGCTTAGAGTTTTTTTCACTCTAAAGCTATCTGGACAAGAAGTTGATGCTGTAAAAATTCTGCTGGTGGGTTACGTGGCTTTCCTGACTTTTTTGCAGTATCTTTTTATCAATGTATTTGCTATTTTTACTTCTCTCATAAAATAATAACTGTCTCCTGTTTTTCTGTTGGCTTCTCTTTCCCGTTTTGCTTTAAGGTCATTTATGGTTGCCAATGCCAATGATGGGTTAGTTTTGCACAATCCACCTGCTCCTCCTCTTGACTTAGTTTCCCTGTTGTCTTTGGAGTTATTGACAGTGACAGAAGGGTGGACAGGAGGCGACGTACTCAGTGTCTCCTTTGTGGCTTGCACTTTTGGGGCAAAGTCCTTCCTTACCTCGAGTTTGTGAGATTAGTTATTTTTGTAGATTTTTCTTATAGACTTAAAGTTTTTTTTCTCTTGTAGGTCTCTAGTCAACCTGGGGTTTATATTGTTGACATGAATAATTTACACATTTAATTTAATTTCTTTTCTACATGAAAATTCAGTTGTTCCCAAACTGAGTAGTTGGTTACAGGAATGTAATTGATTTTGTGTTCAGAAAACTCATTAAATTCTCATACATTTTCATACCCATAGATTTTTCCATTTTCTATGGAAATATATCCCTAGTGTTGTAAATAATGACTAGTTCGTGTATTCCTAAATATCATTTATCATGTTTCTTTTTCTTGCGTTATCAGAGTGTCAGAATCTCTAGTACAATGTTCAGTAGCAGTGACAGTGACACTCATCTCATTCCTGATGTCAGCGAAATGCTTTCAAACTTTTAAAGACAAGTTCGCTATATATTCGTTAAATATTATTGTTATCCGTTCCAGGAAGTTCCATTCTCATGCTTCAAACTGGCGGTCAGAGCAGGTGCCCCTGGAGGATATTGCTTTGCCTTCACATGGGCTGTCGTTCTCACTGTGAGGACAGGAGGGGACGGGAGGAGGAGGAGACAGGCATGCCAGGCCAGAACCTGCTACCCAACACAGCCTGCTCCGACCCTGTTCCTATTCCATTGGCAGAAATCAACTGTCACAGGGCTGCACCTGCAAAGGAAGCCAACCTCACAGTGTACAGCAGTCTCTGCCCAAAAGATGGACCTTGTGTGTTAAAAATTCTCCACCATTAGTCATTTCCCTTAACACGATTTGCATATGTGCGTTTCCTAGACGCAGGAAGACAGAAGTGCCTGTGAAGCCAGATGTGTGGGTCCTCTCCCACACACCGAGTGGTTCCCGGGGGGACACCAGCTGGGAGTCCTTCCCTGCAACTCGGTTCTGACCCTGTCTCCCCGGAGGCAGCAAGGATCCCAAGGTGGAGCTTCCCTGTCCCTTCTCAACCCTGGGTGAGGGCTGCTCTTCTGAGCCAAGGGATTCAAACAGTCCCCAAACACTCGGGTCTGATTAGTTTCTGAGGGTCTCAGAACTCAAGGAAACACCTATTTATATTCACTGGCTTATCAACGAAAGAGATAATAAAGGACACAGGTCAGCAGCCAGATGTCTGTAGGGGAGGTCTAGAGAGGTCCCGAGTGCAGGAAATCCTGTGGCCATGGCCATCATCCCACCTGGACAGTGTCCAGACTCCACAGCCAGGGACGTTGGAGGGCGACTAGTATGCAGGTGTGACTGGCCTTGAAGCGCCCTTCAGCCCAGCTGCTATCTCTAGGAAGTGAAGAGCTGGGGCATGGAAGCTCCGTGCTTAGCACCGTGACTGGCTCCTTCTGGTGCTGGGTCCCATCCCAGAGACCACCAAGAGTCACCTCGTTAGAATCAAAGGTGCTGCCATCACCCAGGGAATGCTGAGGGGATTAGGAGCTCTGTGCCTGACCCTCTGTCTCTCAGGAAATAACAGTGGTTTTAGGGGCTCTGTGTAGGGAGCTGGAGTCAAAAACTGAATGTTAGCACCAAAGATGCTCTTACCGCCCCTCCCCAGGAGAGTGTTTAAAGCTCGGTCTCAGGGAACCAAGGTGGAGACCACATGTCAAACAAAACCTCTTAGTGCTGCCACACTGAGGACAACAGCAGAGTTGCAGGCTTTGCAGGGTGCCAAGGGAGCCCGATGTGTATATTGTTGTAAGGTGTTCCTTCCACCTTGGTCTCTTGCTGATATCTTTTTCTTTAGCTTCTTATTTATTGATAACCCTGACATAATGTTAATTATGGTGAAATCTGTATGAACTCTGAAATTTAGTTAATAGTCACACACCAATATTGATTTCTTAGTTGTAAAGTCTGAATCATGATTATATGAGATGAACAAATCAGGACAAACTAGGTGAGCCGTATGTGAAGATATTATCTCTGTGACTTTTTTATAAAGCTAAATTATTGTAAAGCACAAGAGTACATTTTTTTTTTTTTTTAGAAAAGGCTTTGGCTTTGTTGAACATTACTACCATTTCTTTTTGCTTTGATTTCTTTTTCATTGATCTGTGTCTCTGAAGCTCTCATTTCCTTCTCTCTAATTGCTTTAGATCTGAGCTGGTTTTCCAGATCCTGGGTTGAATGGGATGTGTCACTGTGCCCCGAGTCTGCTACTCTGGCCATGTGAACTCTGTCAAGTCCCTTACTATTATTTAACCCTCCTCATCCTTTTCCTATGCACACACGCACAGTGCTGATGTCTTCCTGATAGAGTGAATGGGAAGATACAGTACCCAGTCGGCACTTCATGAATTATTGTTTCAATCCCCTTCACTTTTGTCATCATCATCAGGGAGACAGTTCATGGCAAAAGTATTTTAGATGCCTGCAATGGTTTCAATGGGGTGAATTTCTTGTGAAAGTTACTTATATTACTTCGTGGACACTATTCCCCTGTTTCATTCAGTTCTACATTCTGGTGTCATAAAGCCCCTAAAATGCCAGTCAGAACAGGTGATGAATATTTGGAAGGACACAGAAGTGGACATGTAGGATAAAAGCAGTCACAGAGGTGTGTGTGTGTGTGTGTGTGTGGCCTTGAGTGCTGTGCTGGGCACCCTCCCTGTCTTTCCAAAATGAGACTCTGCCCCTCTGCACTTCTATGTTCCATTCTGCTCCCCAGGAGGCTAAATTCTATGGCCTGACTCAGATGTGCTCCCTGCCCTTTCTCCAGGGGAGGATTCAGTAGGAGGTTGAATGTGAAAAGAAGGATTGTCCAGAGCATTTGTCCTATCAAAGACCACAAGTCCTCACAAGTAGACTGCCTGAATTACAGGTCTAGGGGGCTCCAAATCTCAGTAGTCTGTTCCTCCTCGTTTCTTGCCCATCGTCCCTTCAGCCATAAGAATGGTAACAGTTCCTAGATATTGCTATCATTGGAATATTTCACCTTTTTTTAAATAAATAGTCCCTTCATTAAACTCATCTCAATTAACCTGTTTAAGTGCACCATCAATTTCATCACTAATGAATGTATGTTTCATCGATTACAATTTAATTTGCCTCCATAGTTGAATTTTGAACAATTATATTAAAAATGGCACCCAAGGTTCAGAGGAAATTAGTCCAATATGCTTATCTTCAATTACAAATGTTAATGAGTAAAAGCTCTGAAATGATGACCCTCTGAGCTCACACTTAGATATATTGATATTTTTCCTACTAAGTGTCTGTTACCAAGAGAATTATGGGGTGCCTGAAAACATTAGAAGTAGTGGGCATTTGTAAGTACTTACATTCTTCTAAATTGTTTTAATCCTGAAAGTGCACAAGAAGTATTTACTCTTCAGGATTATCCCCTTTGTTTTGTAGATGAGGACCCTGAGACATGGAAGAGCACTTTGTTCAAGATCACATGGTATCAAAGTGATCAAGCTGAGCCTTTCTCCAAGCATCTGGGCTCCCACACCAGTCACGGAGCCACAGTTGGCGAGGTGGTTGTGAGGCGACACGCAGAGGTGCATGTGCCAGTCATAGTTCCAGCAGGAAAGAGACAACAGCCTCAAAGCTGGCTAACTGTGAGGTATTTAATAAGGAACTTACTCCAGGGTTTAGGGAAACCAAAAGGAATGGTTCAGTGTCCCAGACGTAGCAACAGTAGATGGGTATGCCCACCACCAGTCCCAGAAGAAAAAGGAAAGGAAGTGGTTACGAGAATCCAGAATATTTACAGCAGATCTTCACTCATAAGAGCAGGATGCTATATGACAGCCACAAAAAGAAACATTTCCCTCTCACCTCCCTTCTGTTTACCTATCTCCAATTTATCTCTTAGTCCCTTTCCTTTGGCTCTAAGAAAACACCCAAAACTGGATACTTCATAAAGAGAAGAGGTTCTTGTAGCTCACAGTTCTTGAAGTTCAAGAGCTTATTGCTGGGTAGGTCCACTTCTCGACAAGCCACCAGCACACAGGCCTTCAGGAAGCACCCAGCCCATGCTGAAGCCCTCGTGTCTCTCGCTGAGCAAACCCAACTGGGAGCCAAAAGCTCAGCTGAGCATGTACCAAAGTTTGACTGCCCAAGGTCAGGTGCAGGATGGTGACTATGTTGGAGGGGCAACAGGAATATCCATCTGATCAATTTTTTTAAATTCAGGAAATAGCTATATTCCTAGAATAGTTTTAGACAAAAATGAAATCTAAACTAAAATTACTATACACAATAAGGTGTTTAAAAACATCCCTTTCTTCTCTTGTCTATTTCCACTGCTTTTGGAAGGCAGCTGAACTTTGGTAAATGCTTCCACATACTAAGTATACACAGTAAATGTTTATTTAGTCTCTGTGGAAGAAACGTGTACCTGCCTGGAGTCTGCAGATAGAACAGTGGATAGAAGCCACGTTTTGCCTCTGGTCACCCACTCATGAGGAAGGCTTTGCAGTGGATATGAGAAGAGTGTAGGCAGCATCCCTCAAAGCCATTAACTTTTGTGGGGGGTGGGTACCGGGGATTGAACTCAGGTCCTTGCGCTTGCAAGGCAGGCCACCGAACCGCTGAGCTAAATCCCCGGCTAAAGCCATTAACTTTTTAAATGCTAGAGATCAATAGATCCAAGCACAGACATTTTATAGAACTTTAGAAATTGGATGATTGTTTAGGATTATGTAACTCAGCTTCCCATTCACTGAGGGAACATGGCACCCTGAAAGATAATTTTCCGATCTATGAATCAGTTTTCCAATCTATAGCTCAAGGAAACACAGCTTCCTGAGCTTTGTGATGCAAATGACTGAAATTCTCATCTTTTCCAGAATGAACTTTTTCCCTGGATCACATGATTCTTCCCTAGTATTCTAGTTTACACCAATCGTAGAGCGGTATTTAAGTTTTGAAACTATTTCCTCAAAGGTATCTACTTTCTTAAATGAATAGGAGCTGAAACAGAGCAACTGCAGTGGAGTAGTGAATTAAAAGTGCTCATCTAAACACTTCCCAGGGACGAAGGGACCACAGTTACTGTGCATTGTTTGGCTCAATCTAATTTGTTTCTTTGGTTGATTCCCTTGTGCATGTATTCAGAACTGTGCCTTACAGATATCATCTAGTTTAATACAAACAAAGGAGGTGCAAATACCCATCTCACAGACATGAAACTACATTGATTTCCTAGGAGTGGAAAGCTAGAACCTATCCCCAAGTTTGTCTCTTCAACCGGTGTTTCTCAACCCAGTAGGTAGAGAAGAAAAAATACTCATGGAGGGGACGTACGTGTGTGCGCATTTTTAAAGAAATTACTGTTGAAATGATGGAGGAGCGCTAGCGCTGATCAGCCCACTAAGTATCCCGTGAGATGCTCTAGCACGATGAAGAACTCAGCTACAAAACACAGCCCAGTTAGGAAACATTGGCTTACCCAGACTGAAATAAAGTCAAGGAACACAGAGATTGCTCATGGTTTAGAAGTGAAGCCAGAAAAGTCACACATTTATTGTTTTAAAATGTATCTATGCCTTTGTAAAAAATGTGGTAGTGGAAGAAATTGGAATTTTTTTAATAAAAAAATCTTAGGGATATCAGTGAAGAAAGTGGACCCTGAAGAAATATCAATGTCGTCTAAATCAAATAGAGGACCGAGTCTACTGAATACCGGAAGCCTTGTTTTACATCAAGTGAAAACAGGTACGAAAAGTAAAGATCTCTGCCTTATGGATCGCGTCTATGGCGGTGCTCTCTGAGCATTGGGGCTGGCAGTGAGGGATGTTTCTGGGAAGCTTTCTCGTTCAGCTCCCCACTTTCCTACTTATGTCAAGTGCTTTGGCTCAATGAGGGGAAGAGCAAAGCCTTCCAGGAGAGTCTCCCGTGCACTGATTTGAAAGGTGCAGACATAAAGGAGCATCTTCGTGGTGAATTCTCTCTGATCGTCCTTCCTACGTCACATCTTCCTCCACCCACAGGCATCCCCTGAACTGTGGTTTTTAATTTTTGGACAGTGGTTACAAAGTACTTCCTTGGGTGTCACCGTGGGAGGGAATGGGGTGGGTACCAGGCATCAGGGTGAGGGCAGAGGGCACAGACCCAGGCAGGCTGTGCGGAGCTCTTCAGTGAGGATCGAGTTCAGCCCTAATTCTACCCCTGGTTGGCCTGTGACCTCCAACGGTCATTTCACCTTTGTAAGCTAGAGCCTCTCCATCCATAAAATGGAGAGCAGTACGTGCATCATGCAGATATGAAAACTAAATGGAACAATGGTAAGAAAAGTAATCTTAATCCATCATCTGACTCTGTGCCGTCTCCTCTTTCTGACAGTAGCACACTGTACGCTCTAGTTCTATCAGACTAACTAGTTAGCATTTCTTAAAGTATCTTCTGTGGCTTGTGGTGTCCCACCCCGTGGAAAATACCACTCCTGTTCTCTGTTCTCTGTTCTCCTGTTCTCATTACAGTTCAGATCTAAAATGCCTTCCATTAGATCCCCGGTACCACAATAAATAAATAAATAAATAAATGAATGAATAAATAAAATAAAATGCCCTCCAAAAGTCTCAACACGTGGAAGGAGGGGGATCGTGAAGTGCTGTACCTTGCTGTGGGGTCGCCCATTCATGAGTTCATACCTAAAATGGGCTGTTAACAGGTGACCTGGGTGGAGGCGGTCCCTGGGAACATGACCTGGAAGGGTGTGTTCTGGCCCCCAGTTCCTCTCCTTTCTCTCTCTGCGTTTTGGTTGCTGTGGTTGAGCCCCTCTTCTTCCTCCATGACCCTCTGCCATCTTGTTCTTTCTTCAGAGCCGGCCGTCTATGGGCTGGAATGTGAGCCAAAATAAGCCTCTTCTCCTTTACATTGTGGGTGTCACAATATTGTCTTTGCAAGGAGAAAGTGACTAAGGCAGAGCCCAATCTCACAACCTTTCTAGAGCCAGCTAGAATGTTCATCAGCTTCATTGTCATAATTAATGGCTTGCTCTCTCTCCCTCCCTCCCTCTCCCCCGCCTTGGCTTCTGAGATTGACATGTGGCTAACACCCAGGCTTCCACTCCCTTTTCTAACGTAACCCCAGCCTGTCTAACACCCCAGCATGTGGATCTGAGGAAAAGGTAATGGTTGCTCTATTCCAACACCAACAGCTCTGCTCTCCCAAGCTCCATTAAGTGAAGGTGTGGCCAAAAGGATGCATGGAGGGGAGGTCTGCTGAGGCACTGCATGGGGAAACCTTGCCAGACTAGTGTGGCTGTCTGCTTTTCTTACCTCACTGTCCTCTTTCCTCCCATAGAGAAGTGAGGCATGTGGCCATTGGGGCCTGTCTTAGTTACTTTTCTCTAGTTACTGAGATAAGATACCCAATCCCCAAAGTTAAAAGGGCTGATTATCTCACAGTTTATAGAGGTTTCAGTCCATAATCGGCTGGCTCGAAGGCAGAATGGCACATGGGTGGTGACAGAGGGGTGTTGTAGAGGAGAAACAGTTCATGCCACTCACGTGGTAGCAAAGGCAACAGGAAACCTACCAGCATCTTTCTGCCCCTTTTATCTTATCCAGACTACCGGGATTAGGGCGACGCCAGACCAATCAGTGCAGTGGTTTAGTAATCATGCGCCTTTATTCCAGCATCACACACCAGATTCAGCCACCTCTGAAAAAGCCACCGGTGACCGCGTGACTCTGGGGGCCATCCAGACCCAAGCCATAAAGGGCTTTCTTTACAGGAGGCATGGTCTCCTCCATGGGATGTGCCAGTGTGGTCTGTGTAGGCTTGGAACGGCAGGGAGAGGGTTGCGTCACTTTCCAGGCAAAGGCCCACTGCTGTCATGAGACCAGAGTGTCCCAAAGGAAGGCTGACCCCTCCAGCATGGGTAAGAGGGAAAAGAATGAGGGACAGTTGCCTCCCACCCCACCAAGGTGGCCAGGAAAAGGAGAGAGAAATGAGATCTGGGGATGATTGGTTTTTGAAGCACAACCGCACATAAACTGACTTTAGAACAAGATGGAGGGGAAGGAGATTTCTAATAGTGGGAACAGGAGGCAAATGCTGTCAGCAATTTCTTTCACTAAAAATAGTAGTAATTTTCAACATACTTTGAATATTTGAGATATACTCTATTTTCCCTCAAAAGCCTATAAAGTTTTTTCCCCTTGTTATTAAAATTTGAAACTCTATAGCTTTTTTTAAAGATGGTATTCACTGTGTTGTGTAGGCCAGTCCCAAACTTTGGGCACAAATGATTCATCTGCTTCAGCCTCCCAAGTAGCTGAGTGGGCCATGGTGCCTGCCTTGTAGATTTTCTTAGTGGTTGATTAATATCCCATTGTTCAGAAATCCTCTCCACACATCACAAGGAATATTTGTATGATCAGATGAAGCCATTTTAAAAGTTCTTATTTATATCGTCAAGCATGAAGCACAATATTTAGTATCTATGTGGTCTCAAACATTTTTGTTCAAAAGGGATAACGAGGAGAACGAAAGTGAAAAACTACCATAGGCAGATATACAATAGGAGGGACGGGAATAATTTCAGGAGCTAAACCAGATGTTCTCTGCTTACTTGTTTCTTTGTGGAGCTGATTATAGTTTATCTATAGCTTTTCTGTTATATAACACTGCCTGCTCACTTCCTTATTAATCTTAATGAGAAAAATCCAGCAAAGTATGTGATCAAAGGACAATATTCTGTCATGCATTAATTAACTAATCCAACCTCTTTATTCAATACAATTTTTATGAGTAAACACTCCTTTTGTGTAAGGTCATGTTCTAGGCTCTGCAAATGAAGCAATGGC